ACCCGAATACAACACTGGTAATTAGTACTTTCAGGAATTTGCTGGATTGTTGATTGGTTGGTTGAGAAGGGTGTTGGTTGGCTAGTCTTTACTCGTCGTCCTCTCCAGCATGAGAGGAGTGGGTCGATGTACAATGTTCATACCTCACATGCAAGACAGTCAAAAACCAATTTCCCAACAACTACCCTGGCAATGCAGAAGTCAGGGATGAGATTGACCAATGATGAAAATAGCTGACAAAACAGCTGAAAAAAGACAAAGAAGCTGAACTGGGAAAATCTCCTAGATACTTTTGTACGCAGCCAGTGAGGAAAAAAGGCTGAAATCCAAAACAAAAAAAAAGCTGAAATCAGCTGAAAAGCGGAGAAATCTCACCCTGTGATAAGAATTGATTTGAATTTGTTTATCTCATTGCTGCTTCAGATTGCAGCGGGGCAAGGTCCATGGGAGAGCCTAATTGAATGAGTGCGATTGTTCTGCCTCGGGAAGGTAAGTGGATAATTTTTGCCATTTTGACTGCTTGGGCCGCAGATGCTGACAAAATTCTGATTAGGAGAGAAGCAGAGAGCAGTGATAGTGATGAAAAGCCTCATATGGGACTCTGGTTCCCGATTTTACCTTGAAACTATATCAATAGCGTATTTTGTAATCGTGCACCACACTGAGCACTGTGCTGAGGAGGGAATCTTCCGCCCACATCCGAATCCCGATGCACGTGCACATGTAGACCAAACAATGTCTCTACTAGGATGAAATATCAAATGTTTGATTTTGGAAATGCGGAAGGGGCAGGAGACATTCGTCAGACCAGATGGCACATTTTACCGTCACAAATTCAAACTCTCTCTTGCCGTCATCCAGTCACACACTGTTTCTCTTGTTGATGCACTGTATTATGAGTGACTCCTATTGTTCCAAATGTACAGTAACGATAGTAGACCACCGAAATGAGATTCACACAAGTCCCATTTTTAGAATAAGAGATGTTATTCTCCTTGATCTTCAGAACATGATTTTATACAGAAAGATTGCCACTTAAAATTACAGGGTACTAAAAATAACACGGGCAAAACACACAGTACTTCCAGTGTTCAGCCCTCAACCATTAACAGTCTGTAACCTTTCCACTTCATTACAGATTTTTCACACACCTTTTAGGCATTGACATTAAAGATACTTTTTTTATAACCTTCAACTTTTTCTCTGGCCACTGCACCCTCTTAACACCTGCTAGATTTGCATATTACTTATTGGCCCGTTGAGGGTGAAATCACGCAAAGAAAACCAGGGTCAAACTTTAAGATGATGAGAAGATATGCCTCTGGTTTGTGTTACTGATTATTACAAGCAACTGTGCCTGGGACTTATGAATATTAATACGTATGTAAATGTAAAAATTTGCATACATGCGCATGCACTGCCACTCCACTGTGGTAGACTTGGCTGCTTGTGTTAACTGTTGATACAAAGACAATCCATTGCCAAAGCCTAAATCTGCCCGACTAGGAAGCATGTTCCAAACTGCTTGCAACCACATGCCTGTGACTACCGCGCACCGTTATGGGATACCACTCACGCTTAGATGCATTGTTCTCCATACTAATTGCGTGGAACCTTTTTTGCAATTTCTTGGCTTAAACGAGGTGCACAAGTGACCGACGGCAATGGAGTACGTACAGAAACATGACGAGTCATGAGAGAATTAACTGTTCCTACCTGCATGATTATTTACCCAGTTCATTTATTCTTTATCCAGGTAAAAAACGTTTTTGGTACAGTTTCTGATTTGCTACTGCCAAAAAAACCAGCAAATATGAAAGTCACCTGTTGGATTTCAATTAACAGGTACACGATGATTATTATTATTATTTTCAATTAAGGAGTTAATTCTCTGATCCGTGCCATATTCTGCCCCCCAGAATTTACCGACAACATCAAAATCTCCCACTCCTCCATCTGTGTGAATTATCAAAGGTTTGAAGCAATAATTTTACTCAGAAATGAACCGTTATCCCCAATGTAAGATAATGCAAATTGCATCAGAGATTCAGCGTAGTAGTGCAATCTAGCAGGTGTGCACTTTCCCACAACTGACATTCAAAAGGGCTTGATACTTTGCTGTTTTGCGACTGTCCAACTAGCACTAATGCCTGGCCAGTTCTGTAAGACCTGTAGAAAGCGCATCACAAGTTCCATGGTAACGACACTCCAAAATGTTTGAAAATCAACAGTTCAATTCACCAAATCACATCAGCCATCCACTTCAATCTTTTTTTTTCACATGACAGTTTCACTGTTCATACTAAAAACACGAAGTCACTGGATGGATTTCTAATATAGACCTCAGTCATGAGGAAGCCAAATTTAGTCTTGATCCCTGAATCTGTTTTACAAACTGTTCAGTGTTGAAAGGATTGCACCAGACTATTTGGGAAAGCACTGTAAGTCTCCCTTTATATTTTTGTTATACATAAATCTGGCTTAAAACACGAAGGTACATGTATGCATAATCACAAATTTGACATTGTTCTTCAAAGTAGATGGTTGCAAAGTTTTTATGAAAGTGGATTTCATTTCTTTCCAAACGATGTCAAGTTCCCAAATGAAGAGTTTACCTTGCGTTCAATTTTAATATGGCTGATCTCATGAATGAGGTCTTTTTCTGTCACCTGGTCATAGTACTTCGGTCAGCCAAAATATACACAGAAAAGAATAATTACAACCTCGTACATTATAAAATATTTCCTCTCACTTTTCTGTGAATTCTAAGGCTAATTGAACCACTGAAATTATGTATGTACATGGGGAGCATAAAATTGGACTGATCACTGACCCACAACTGTCATTGTTTAGTCAACGAGAATGTCCTTTTAAAGAAAGCTGCAAGTGTAGCACTCAGCTTGCAAATTAAAAACACTTTTTACACATCTCGGAAAAGGTTTGTCTCGCTTGCATACCTGCTTCATGGCACCTTGCTTTTACAACTTAAAACATCCACCTTCCCAGTTCATAATTACTATTAGCTGCAATTGCAATAAAACAAGCTTGCCAAGATGAACTTTAAGTGTTTCACTATTCTAAGCTGGTTTTAAAAATTCAAATGTCATGTGCTATCCTTATTTATATTTCTTTGGAACGGATTCCATTCGTTGTACAAGAGTTTGATATTTCAGTATTAACTAAAACAAGCAAACATGAAAAATATGACAAACGATAAGCAAAGTATTTATACACACATCAGCACCTGTCTCTCAAATTCTGTGAATCTTTGGGTAGCATATAATGTAAATATCAATCAGACAGGATTGGCACGCTTGCCATTTAATCCTTGCCTGACACACATTTGACTCCAAGAACAAGAAATTGAAAGAAATCACTGAAAGTGAAGGAGTTTTGTTTCCTTGTTATAAAAGCCATTCCACTCAAAAACACTGCAGAGAAATCTATTTCCAAACTGGCAGACATTGTTTAAACAGAATCGGTATCTTCACTGTAAAATATAAATTAATTAGAACTATCCTGAAGGATGTCCAGAAATATTTGAACAAGTTCTTCCAAAGAAAACAAAAATCAGCCCCTGGGGAAGAGCATATAAAACCTTAACTTTTCAACTTGCAGTGACTTCGACCTTTGACCTCTTAATCCCAACTACAACAGTTAAACGACCTCTTGCTTAAAAAATAAGAAATGACAGTAATAAGAAAATGATTTTGACAAAAAGGCTGTCTTATAAAGACGGAATTACAGGGAGGAAGAGTTAGAAGGACAGTTTTTCATCACTGCTTGAGCATACATGTATTAATCTTCAAGGAACACGTAATAATAAACTACTTGCCCCCGCAGCCCCACAAAACAAAATGTAACTGGCGCTTTGTGGACGGCAGTGGTTTGTCCATTGAGGTGAGCACCATTTAAATGAGCTAGATTTGGGGAGTTGATAACTAAAAAAATTTAGATCTATACTGTCTCTTGTTCGATTAAAAAAATATACGAATCTGAACAAAAAGTGGCGGGATAAAAAGTGTGCAAGGGAATAAGCCATTACACACAATTGCCTGTGTGTAGTCAAATCCTTGTATTTTTACACCAGAAGGAGCCATGAAAGCACAGCTAGCTGCCTTTGCTAGAATGTACACAAACCCGAAAGCTGTTAGCCGTTGGGCAGCTGGCCAACATGCAAGGCTTAGTGCTGCATGTGAATTTGTAAGTTGCTACATGTAGCCACTGTCAATATTGGAGGCTGGAGGCTAACTACATGTACATGTACATCAGAAAATTAATGCATTTCACTATCTAGGTTTTCCTGTACAAAGTGAATGTATGTGTAGATGAAACTTCGCAGGGAACCAGCTATTGCTTCACAGTTTACAAACTAACTTTCCCGCTGAGGTACTTTCGCCTAATTTTCTTTTGCTGTGCTTTTGCGAGTCTCAGTAATAGGAAGCAACCATTAACAGGAGTTGCAAGCTTTGTAGTGCAACATGAACATTCTACTAAGCCCAGAATTAAGACAAGGGTGTTGTAATGATGACATTGATGATGTGTCTTTGGCAGAGGTAAATACAAAACAACCAGTCCAAAATCTGGCATCCTAGGGAAAGAAAAAGTCTAAAAAATTGTCTAAGCAGTGATGTACACATGTATTAGCATCAACCTTGCCCTTTATGCGTTACACAACTACACACAAGTTCATCTCATAACTGGTAAAGTTCACGCGTACATGCAGTTCTGTGTAAAAAAACTTTGGCATAGTATACCCAAATGTTACATGACCTCTTCTCGACAGCTCACGCCTGCAAAACTTGAAGAGAACATTGTTGTTCACATTAAAGGGAACGGCAAGTAGACAGAGTGGTGTTCCTATCAAAAAAGCTTTTATAGTAAAGATTGCGGTAACACCATGTATTTATCTCTTCTTTGAGTATGAGATAAATACATGGTGTTACCGCAATCTTTACTATAGATCTAGTTTCTTTCACCATGAAAACCTTTAAGTCTTAAAAAAGCTTTTGTACGTTAATCTAAAGATGACAAATAATGGTCCATGTAGTTCTGTGACGGAGATGCGTAAGCATCATGCTTTGGAATGGAAAAGCTTTTTTTGATGTAAATTTTTTGTCCACTTTTCAACTGGACTGACACTGACCAGATGGGAAACTAATTGACAGTGGACAGAGAATTTTTCTCCAAGTTTTACACTGCAAACTGTCAATTCTCTTGGTCCGTTTTCTTTTACCAAATATCGTATGACCTCCTTGAAAACCTTCATTTTTACATGTACTAACAAAAATACTACAAACTAAAAAACAAAACTCAGTGGGACATTTAATATACATGTGATAACAAAAAGGCAGGCTTATTAATTTTGTATCCATGTTAAAGTTCATTACTTTCCTTCTTAAAGCGTCTGGCTGTGTATCCACCCCGAGCTGAAGTGCACCCCAAATTGGCGAAAAGAAAGACAGGTGGTTACAAGCGGGTTCTTGTATGCATTCTGCGTGTACCCAAAAACCATACCTGCCGGAATAAATTACATGTAGGTACATGTCTCATGGTGCGCCTTTATACAGTGAGTACAAAAAAATCCACGCCCTCTTGTGTTCTGCTTGAAGCAGATATCAAGGTCAAAATATCTGCTCTCAGGATCCAATAAGCCAGTAGGGTTTCTTAAAAGGGCAAAGTTTTTCAGGAGTCGGTGCATGGCTGCACTGATAGGACAGACAATCGTGTGTGTGCGTGCTGCAGTTCCCAAACGACCTCGGACGTGCTTCGGTTTAGGTATGCACTGTTGGAATACCGAAATGGCTTCTTATTGGAAAGCACACACAAACTTGCCTAATCCCATCAGCAGACAAATGTTAAAATGCCACAAGGGCTATTGCTAAAGTTAGAACTAGTCGTCCCCCCCCCCTTAAAAATGCTGCACTTTGCTATTCTGTATACCAAGTTCCCTGGGGTCGACTGTATGTTGAGGTCAACATACAGTCGACCCCAGGGGACTGTTGTGACTTGGGTTTTCTATGTCTTGCTTGCACAGCATAATGGAAGAAACACAACGAAGGGAATGACACAGTACTGTTGTGCCTATGATTAATTTCAGACTTGCTCAAGGACGTCAACTGACTAACTGTTTTGGTTTTGATCTTTTGTTCGGTGCGTGAACGAAACACACTTGGAGTGCCTGATGTTAGTGTGCATAAAGGGCCGACAAACTGCTCATCTACTGTAGACTGTTAAATAGTCAGCCGATTTAAAAAGGAAATGGTCGTAAAAAAAGTCATCATCAATACATTGCAACCACTTACGTGTACTTCCTTAGTTTCATTTTCTACAACTTTTAAAAAACATTCAAGACTTGCATGAGTTGTGCACTTCGTGCCATTCTAAATTGGCTGCTGTGACATTTACAAGTTGGATATATTTATACTTGACTTTGACCCTTGATCAGGTTAACGTACATGAACTTTGCCCTTGACCTACCAGCATTTTGCTACTACGGTACCTGTGATTCGCTACATGGAAACTTGCCACACCAGAAGCTCTGCCTCTCGACCTCTGCCCTCTGACCCCTCCTGCATTAGGTAATTGTGCCCCTCCCCGCCACATAGCACCAAGCTGGTGGTGCTGGTGATGCTGGCCGACACCCGGTCTGTCTGACCCTGGACCTTTGACGCCAGGTCACCCCGGCCGCTCTCCTCGGACAAGTTGCTGCTGCAGGCGCCGCTGTCGGTCGTGCTGGGTTTGTCATCTTCGTCCACCTCGTCAAAGGCCAGGGAGAAGTACTCCGTCATGGGGGACATGGCTGATGTGACCAGGTTGGCTGTGTGGGCACTGGCTTTGGTGCGTGGGGGGTTGATGCGGGCAGGCGCTTCATCCATTGGAGTGGAATGCGGTGTTTGAGTTGGTGTCGGTGTGGAAGCTATAAATTCAAATGAGAGAAGACTCCAATTTAGCCTGTCTATGATTTCAACCCCTTTGGTAGACAGGAAAATGAAAATATGAGGACAAAAGTCATTGCTCATGATCTTTTCCTCAATTTTTTTAGTTCAAGCCTATGCACAATTTAAGTGTTTGACTTCTGATGTTTTATCTCTGACCCAAAGAAAATCAACTCCCCTCCCCCCAAAAAAGAGAGTCGGAATTTTCTGGGATCATTTTGGTCTGCTTTGTTTGAAAACTGTACCAAAAGTCTTGGCTGCCAATTAAGACCCTCTGACCAAAACGGACAGGTCAGTTAAGTCATGATCACTTACACTGAAGCTCAAACAGTGACAAGGCCCACTGACCCGCAGGGCAATTAAGAAGATGTTCCAACGCCTTGGGGGACAAATTCTGGTGCCAGTCCATAGTCACGTCATCCACCCTTTGCTAAGATTTGTGCCCCCCCCACCCCTCAGGGGGTCTGACTGACAGAGACTACTGGCCAGTTTTAAATCCTTGTCTATTAAGAGAGACCAGCTTAATGCCCGAAGTGACTCGTTCATTCCCAAGTGGATGGCTAGACTAGTTTGCTGAGAAATTAAAGCCAAGTCGTCATCCACAGTAAAGCAATTAACAAGACAGATACTAGAGCGACTGCATTACATCAAACTCATAACAGGAAATCAAATTCTCGGTTTCCTTGTGGTCAGAATATGGCCTCGTCCAAAAGTTACAGATGTGGAGAGAAATGATGCATACATCGATGGATGTCACTGGCTGGCCGATACACCTAATTCCCTTGCCAAATCTACTGGATTTGGACATAGCTTATGGCTTTGGGCAGAGCAAAACGTTGGCACTGTGAGATGCAGGGCTCAGTGTCTCATCTAGCCATCTGTCCACCTGTCCTGAGGACAGGCCAAAAGAGACTGGGACGGGAACAACTTTGACTCCACGGGCTGCGTGCGCGTTCCTTCACTAGCCCCTGATCGTGTGGTATACAAAAATGATATTGACTGGCTATTCAGGAGTTATGTTTATGTACATAAACGTGAAGTCAATCGCGCATGTTTTTCAAAGCTGCACACTCAAGCCCATGTATTCTATTGCATATCAGTTGTGTAACTCTGCGTCACACGCAAACAGACTGACAAAAGTCCTAATTTAAGTATCCCAAATACAGTTGAACGTTGCTATAATGAACACTGCTATACTGAACATTCAGAAATACTGAATATCCCCCTTGTCTCCAATGATAAATAACTCAACGTTGGGGAAAATCGCACTCACGACAGAATAACGACCAACACGTGGCACAGTCTGAATCGTTAGTGGGCGGCCGTGGAGACTGGCTGCCCTGCACTATGCGTGTATCGGTATGCTATGCAATACTAGCAACTCTGGACGGTGTGGAAAATCCTGCATGACAAAGCCGGCAGATTTGAGCTTTAAAACCACCAAACCAGGAAATAAATGCACAGATAGACACTAGCATTTGTTGCTCGACTCAAAGAAATTTTTCAAATATGCTTGCCTGACATTTAGTTGCTGACTTAAGACATAATTGCACCTGTAACGCTACAGTATTTGAATGGTACCGGTGCCTAGCCCTGCTCATTTGTTAAAGTGTCGTTTAACCTACGGGAACCAGCGTAACTGTACCTACATGTCACCTGCAGTTTTTAGGCAACGACTCAAGGAAAACTTGAGATAAACATACTAAAATAATACAGTTTTTTTTCTCCATTTTTTTTTTTTTCATTTTTCGTGTAGATTTTGACCCCAAATTCTCATACCGAAACAATTTGTGGGGCTGGCCAGCACACGTTTGAATATGGGCTGGAATTCGGAATGGGTGCCTGTGTTTGCGATTGAAAATAGCTATACCAAATGACTGCTGTACCGAACATTTTGTGTGGATCCCGTAGTATTCAACATAGCAACATTCCACCGGAGTGGAATATTTAAATTATACAATACCAGAGGTTTGAGATCACGCAAGGCATGGTGGAAACCAACATGGCGCGGCAAGATCATACCCATGGGAAAGAGGTTGGGACAGGCAGGTTTGGCTCATTCAAAATTTACACTTTTTTTAAGTAAATCTTGACATTCTCAAGTAAGACTTTACAGTTCCTTCGAAAATACTGGGTGCCGTCAAAATACAGCCTGAGATAGCACCAGGGAGAGTCAATTTCAGGACTTTTTCCTGGGAACAGACATGCAATTCTTTTCAAGCTTGATCTAGAAACCCTAGTGGGAGGACTAGACTTTGGACTGTGTGGAAAGAATTCAGAATTGAACGAGGGATGACTTAGGGTTTACCTCAAGGTACCCCAGAGAATCCTGTTTAACTTTGAAACATCGAGTTACCTCAAGCATAATTTGACATTTCTCCCTAACATCGTTTTGCAGGGAGGTGCAGGGTTAAGCACAGACTGACAGTCTTTTGCCTATTCAAATGAAGCCTCTTGAACAAACCGTGCCACCTACGGTATAAAACAGATGGCTTTTTGAATGCTAAGATAGACATTCTGATTTATGAGGTCCTTTTCTATATGCTCAGTGATCACTGTTCAAAGTTTGCCATTTTTTTGAGGTGGTTTGTCTTTGGGCTTGGTAACTTTACAGACTATGCACCTGTGCAAGGCTGATCCCGATGCACATAACCTCCGGGGTAATTTTCAAAAGTGAACCAATCCCTCCAGACAAAAAATCTTAAAATCATGCAAGCTTTTTACCTTCGTTGATGTCGTCCTTGGATGAGTAATGGATTCGGTCACTCTGCCGGTTGATTTCCAGGCCTAGCATAAACTTGACTGGACCGCCGTGGGTGTGGTAGGCCACCATGGCCGGCCCGTTGACCAGGGGCACCCCCTCCAACCGCGGCAAGGGGAAGTTGACCAAGATGCCCAGGTTGCTGCCCACCCACAGGGAGCCATAGCAGGCCAGCAGGTGGGTGACTTGAACAGAGTGGACATTTTGGAAGATGGTTTGGGATTTGGGACTAAGGCCTTGATGGAAAGAAGCAAGGAAAAACCCCATTTGTACAGTTTTTCAAGTTAGAAGATATTAATAGGTCATTTTGTCAACTTGGGATCCAGTTTTTATGTTTAGAAATTAAGAAAAAAATGGAAAATTCCAAAAATAAGGGAACCATTTTTTGTGTGTGTAAGCTCAGAACACATTTTTTAATTTCCAAGAATGATGAATTAATGCAANGAAAATGTCACACTTGACTTTTTGGACCCCTAATTTCTGGAATTACCCATATTCAATTCCCATGTGTGAATAAGTAATACAAAGTAGGAAAATGGTTCTAAGTCAATTTCAACCGTATTTCCAATAACTCTGTTACTGTTAGGAGTTAAAGGGACAAAAAATGCCACTTTAAGACCCCAAATTTATTGTATGACCCTAATGATGAAAATAAAATGACCACACTCCAACTGAGCTTCCTACACTGCTTAAAGCCCGTGTTCCCTCCAATTAAGTTACCAAGCCCCTCCTCTCCCATTTACCAACCTGCTACCATCCTCCCAATGGGACTGGCCAGGCTGATATCTTGCAGCACCTGCAGGGTCTCTGTATGGAACAGGCGGATGATGTCAGAGGTTTGGAAGGCTACCCAGACGCCCACGCCGGCCACCACCATGCTCTGTATGCTCTCATTCTGTTCCTGGTGGACTTCAAAGTCAGTCTAGGTATAGTGAGTTGGAAAAGAAATATCCCAAAACTTTCAGAAAGGATGAACTCCAAAAGACGAACCAAAGGTAAGGGTGTTGGGCACACTTTTGAGCAATTTCAAAATGGATTCATTTTTTCAGTAACACCTCCCCCCATGAACATGTTCTGTTTTACTTTTTCTGCCACAAACTCCAAACAACTTCAATAATCATCTTGATCTCCCTACAGGACGCAACAAAGAATTTCACCTGGGAGAATTCGCTCTCTGTGTCAATGATGTGGATCTGGTTGCCACAGCCGCACCACATATTCTGCTTGACGGCAAGGAGGGCCACGACTGGATGTGAACCCAGCTCCGATATTCTGGGCTCCTTCACCTTCCATTCACCCTCTGTGGAAGGGCGTGAGGTAGAGGAAAGGGGGTTAAAGAAATGTGAACATTAACACTCCTTCAGTATCCAAGTTACCATTTCACATCCAAGGGGAATAAATTTCAAATGTATGTTTTTTCCTAGGTCCACAAGCCGGGGCAATACATCATTTTATCACACCCAAGGATCAATCCCCAGAAGTCCTTGACTCCTATGCAAGTGGAGTTACATAACAGCTGTCTCACAAGCTAAACTTTTTAAACCGTTGAAAATTTTGGAAACGGGGGGAAGTACTCTGATTAATTTGAAGCACAAAATCTAAAAACCTGACGAAATTACCCCCAAGATGTATCCTTTTCATGTCCATCAGTGATTCGTGCTATTCTCTCAGTTCTAACTCTTCAATCAAAATAAAAAGTAACCCCCTCCCCCATTCAAAACTGGAGAGTCAGGTGGTGCAGACCACCTCAGGAACCTGGGTTCGAATCCCACCCAGGCCGATGTGGATTGCGTTTGGGTCCCTGTCTACTTCTGTGCATTTCCCTTGTATATCATTCTGGCAATTTCCTCCCACCTCTAAAAGCTGACACATTTCCTCGCGCTCTCTCTCAAGGTTTTCCAGGACTTCCGAGCTAAAATGTCTACCTGCCTTTAAGAAATCCCCAGTTCGCATCCCTGAAAGCGCCACTCAAAAAAGAAGCGACTAACCTTCAGTTCTGATGTATATGAGGACCGTGCCGTCTTGCTGGGCAAGGAACATGCGATTGTTCAGGTACTTCATGGACGTGACGGCGCGAGGCACCTTAAAGCTAACCAAACACTGGCTCTTGTCCGTCTGGCTGGCCTCATAGATGCTTATCCTACAGGTAGGCGGAAAATTTATAGCAAAGACTAAATTTGGACAATTGTAACGCTGAGCATTGATTGTAATGACTGAGGCAAAGTGACATATGACCGAGTAAGAGGAGGAGTCCTTCTGAGGCTGCATATTCAAATCTGTTATCTCATGCGAGGTCTAGGCTCCGTTAGACATACGCGAAGACACGCTAACAATAGAAACAGTTGTATTTCCCAAAGAATGTTTCAGACATGATCTAAGTTGAGGCTAGAGGAAAATCTAGCTGATATTGATTGGATTGGGAGTTAAAATATTACAGAGGAATAATTTCATACACAGCAGGGAATGTTGTGAAGCAAGTTATTGTAAGTATATCTTCATCAGAAGAATGGCAAATAGATTGGAAACTTCTGAGGAAAATGTTGCCAATTATTTGGACGAGTGTTATGGCAGGTACCAGTACTAATGAACGAGTGTTATGGCAGGTACCAATACTAATGAACAAGTGTTATGGCAGGTACCAGTACTAATGAACAAGTGTTATGGCAGGTACCAATACTAATGAACAAGTGTTATGGCAGGTACCAGTACTAATGAACGAGTGTTATGGCAGGTACCAATACTAATGAACAAGTGTTATGGCAGGTACCAGTACTAATGAACGAGTGTTATGGCAGGTACCAGTACTAATGTGTTGGACTTGTACAGATCTGAATCTTATCTCAAGTAAGGTCTAGGTCTCCACCTGTGCTCGTTAGATGGACAGACTTTGGTAATGGCAGCAACTCTGCATGGGCCACTTTTAGGTCAGAAACTTTGACCTTTGAACCCACCTGCCATTCTCTGTACCCAGCCACACCGTCGGCTTCATCAAGCAGAACTCGCTCCGTCGCACGCTCTCTCGGAAGCTCCTCCCTGGGGCGCCTGCCTCCCCACCCCCCAGGGACCGGGTGACCCCTGGCACGCACTCTGCGCACAGCACCCGCAGTTCGCCCAGCTCAAACGTCTCCAGGATTTTGGGCGAGGGGGGCTGGAAGCTGACCACGCTGACGTAAGACTTCTTGTTGTCCGAACTGACCACCCACAGACAGTTCCTGGTGGCCTCGCTCTCCAAGGTACGTTTCCGCCGGCTGCGGGAAAAGGCCGGTTCCAGGGGACACAAGACCGCACAGTGTATCTACAAGCAAAAAACAGACACTAGTGGATAATACAGGTGACTTGTAAACGCGAACAGTTTGCCAATAAAATTGCAGAATAAGTACTCAATCATCTGCCACTGAAGTCATCTTTAGTGTAGTTTCAGTGTGTGGTTCTCCCATTTTCGGCAGTCAAGGTTTTCAATTTTTATTGTAAAATGTCAACTTTATTGACAGATACAAGTGCATGAATAAGTTTTTCCGACAAAACAAGTGAGTTTATTATGTAGTTACCAATACACTATTAACACTGGTGCGATGCTTGAATTTAGGAACATACACAATGAATTGGCACACGTCTGTACCCGTGCAGGGCTGGTGAAAGGGAAAGCCAGCGCTCTGCTTTCCATGGAATTTGGATATTACGAACCTTTAAGCAAATTCGTGGGGGAGTCGGGTTGGCAAGGTAGTTCTTTCCTCGCCTTCCACCTGTCTAAATTGGCGCATTAATTGGACAGTTGGTTACAATGTACCTTTGCTGACTGCTTGGTAGTGAATACAGGAAGGGCTTTCATGAGGAGGGGTACACCGTAGTTCATTTCAGTGTGAGCACTGTCGCTGTCCTCCGAAGTGTACCATCCAGGGTTGTTGTGGGATTCTGATCAAATCAATCAGACCAACAAACATTCGAGAATATAATAGTAATAATAACAAGCACTTGTAAAGCGCCCTCTATCGAGCAAACCATTCCGAGGTCCCTGCACATTGGGCTCACACATCATCTGAACATTCCTGAAACCATCTCGGCTCCCCGGGGAGTATACTAGCCTGGTGCTGTCATTTCGGCACAAACGGCTAAACTAGCATGTCTCCCTTCACAGGTACTCATTTACTCCTGGCTGGAGAGAGGTATATAGGGATAAAGTGACTTGCCCAGGATCGCAACATGCTGCCATCAGCTGGATTTGAACCCCTGACCCTCTGATCAGAAGCTACAAACCCTAACCACTAGGGCACATGCCTCCCAAATGATGCAAATGAAATCCGAAGTCTTTTCTGATGCACAGAACAGTTGTTGACTGATACAGTGAGGGGCACATTTTCACTGCGCTGGACTTTAAAAGATTTACTGCTTACAATGGGTTCAAAGCAACCCACGGGAGTCAGCTCTGTTGTGACGTTCTCTGAACGGCTTTGCGATCTTTCCTACGAACACAACAACGAATTGAGTTTGAATATCCTCAAATCTTCTCGGAATTGGCTGGCAGTTATTGAGCTGAAAACTTACTCAAGGCAAGCTTGGCTGTTTCCAGGGCAGTTACCCAGTCTAACCTGGTCTTGGAGCTGACCGCGTCGAACACCAAGGTCACTCGTTTATCCCTGCAAAGGGTGGAAAGTTAAAGGCAAAACTTGTGTCAGTTCCCTATCAGAGGTTGAGCCACATGAGTGCTTTAGTTCAACAGCGAAGTCTATGATTTGTGTCATTTAGAAGCCTTTGGTGTTCACAAACAGTGCAAATACTGGAAGCCTAGGCTGTGAAGTTACCCTGCAAAAGGTAATGCTGAAGCATGAAGTGGACTTACCTCATGACACCAAGTCTGAAGCCAGACATCACAGACATCAAGGCTTGAGAAACATCTCTGGGCCAAAAAAAAGCCCCTTTTAGGCCCCCCAAAAGTCTCCAGTTTCTGGTCAGAGCGTCTGTTGTATACCGGCATGTTAGCAATATAACAAGTTTTTCATTTTGTATAAAACGATGTCCAAAAGCTGCCAACTTGCTTAAACGACTGTGTGCCATTTCCAGAAAAAAAAAGCCACGTCGCCAAACCACTGCTGGAGCCAGCCCCTGACCAGAAACCCGAGACTTTTTTGGGGGGCCTTATGCAGTGGCTGTGGTCTGGTATCCAGACTTACATGGCTACAGCTGGTAGTGACAGCTGTATCTTGCTGACATCAGCTTGCTTAATCTCCTGACCCTTCTTGTAGATAAGTTTCTGGATGATCTCGGCCCAGTCTTCCACGTCGTCTTTCGTCAATGTGCCATAGGAGCCCTGACATTAAAATTCAAGCATAATGTCCAATGAGGGTTCAGGTATTCTTCAAGTCGTTTCTTAAATGGACGAAGAAACTTTGGTGAGGTTTCCTAAGTAACTTTTGGCAGTGTTTAATAATTTTTTGATTGTGCCTGAAATCTTTAATCCCCCCCCGGGAGGTGAGATGGTTTGGGAAATATTTATAGATGCAGTGAGCGGGGGTAATAATGATTGAGCACAATTGGCAGCAATAATGCTAGATACGTGTACTTTATAAAAAGATAAATATTCATGAATGTCTTGGTAGATGAATTCCATGAATTCCACAGTGCTGTTTTTTTTTACCCGCAGTGCACCCCCAATCGGCAAAAAGAAAGACAGGTGGTTACAAGCGGGTTCTTGCACGCGTTCTGCGTGTATGCCAAGACCATACATGCCGGACTAAATTAGTTACCCATACTAGGCGTGGTCAGCATCAAACATGCATATACATGCACTTACGCGCATACACTTGGGGTGCCTCATGGCACGCCTATGCGGTGAGTAGCAAAAAAACACACACCCTCTATTGTTCCGCTAGGAGCAGATTACAACTGGACATTCCAGTTAAAAGTTCATAAGAATTTCGAGTGATGTAATACACCTTTTCATTTTGAAGATAACAGAGCTGGGCAGATATGGCGATGTTAGAATTTCTAGATAGCCAGTGGGATTAATGTCTCCTTACCTTGAGCGTGGACAGGAGAGCGCCGATTTGTCGGACGACAGCCATGTCGTGCATCAGGTCGTTCCGTTCTTGGTACATCTGTCTTGCCGAACCGGTGTACGTGTAATCTGACAAAAACCCAAAGAAAATTGATGAGAGAGCAGTAACCAAGCAGCTGGCCGGACGGTCTTCAAAGTCAACCCACAGGCCGGCCTCTTCCGTCAAAAACGTGGTAAGGGCAATTTGCAATGTAGTGCACCACCAAGAGGTTGCCACGGAAAGGCTAGTTTGTGCAGTGCATTATGGGAAATTCCATTTGCTGACTCTGCACAGGGAACTTGAAATATTAAGTTTTCTACTGACCTACACTCAAAATGCAAATTGCAGCAAGGCAGCCATGCTTTTGTGGACTGTAAACTTGGAAACGGACTACCTCTTGGTGGTGTATTGTTTTGTGAATCGCCTCTAGTTTGTGGAATTTGAAAGCCTAGTTACCATGTTCTTCAGCTTGCTGCTGAGTAGTGATGGTCAGCTTCCCAGGTTCTTGGGACACCTCCACTTCTGTCCCTCCCTCCCCGGAGGGCTCCACCACCTCCACCTCACTGAGTGGAACGCTCCACCGGTACTTGCATCTGGGCATGTCAGAGCCAGGCGACAGCCCTGGGGACAAGGTTCTAACAGGGAGAAACCATTGCATAAACAGGTGGTGACGCTCAGCTGCAGAACCTTTTAAAAATTCATTGTTTTTCTTGTTTGGACTTTACAGCTGGTTACGGACAGTGCTACATGTACGTCAAAAAAAAAACTTCCTCTGCGTCCACAGGGGAGTCAGGTGGGTACAGTGGTACTCCCCTTGCCTTCCACTTCTGTGACCCGCATTCGATTCTCATCCAGACTGACATGCTTTTCAGTCCCTACCCAATTCTGTGTATTCCCCCAGAATATCTTTCACAGGTTTTTTCCTCCCGCTGCTAAACCTGAAAATATCTTTGTCTTCCTTTCACTGGATCTCTTCAGAGCTTCAGGCTACAGTGCCAGCGCACATTTGAGGAAACCATGTTTTACTTTTCAGAAAGAACTGGACGAGATCAATTCTGTGCAGCTCACTTAGATATGACTGTTGTGCAGATGAGAAGGTCGTTGAGCATGAAGAGACGTCGCTCCTTGCATTTGATGATTTCCCCCTGACTGTCGTAAGTCTGAAGGTAAAAAAAACAAGCAACATAAGAAAGCAACGACAGTGAGATTTTAGGATGTGCAAAGGTCAATGTGCCAAGCCGTGCAACCGTCATGCAAACCAACGAGAAAACTATACGCAGCTCCAAAGGCCACCGAGGCTGTAGAACCAGTCTGGGCTTGCAGCACTAACAGCGTAGGGAACAAGTGAACTGTGGACGGAAGGGACTGGGCTGGTGGTCGAGGTGGACCCGTCATGCAAATCAATGAACAACCGGAAAATTATGTGCAGTTTCAAAGAAAGTAGTAGCACCCCGCTGGAGTTACATAATGAGTAGGGAAGAGAACAGGTGGATGGGGGGGGGAGATTAGGGAAGTTGTTGAGGTGAAGCCCCAGAGGGATCCTGGCCATGCAAATGGATACACACGTTCCTGAGAGTTTGTGCATAATGTAAACGGGATTTGTTCCGTGCATGCTTCATGTACATCAATGTTATGTTAAACGGTGGCATTAATGGGGGCCATGTGGACGGTGCATAACTCCCCACACTGATTTCCAAGCAGGGTGTGGCAGGCAAAATTCAAAGATTACTAAAACAGTTCATCTATCTTGATTTTTTGCAATCAGAAATGCCCCAGACAGGTGTGTGTGAGTTTGTTTCTGCATTCAATTGGGGACCCTGAACAATAAAGGACAATAAGGTCCCCGATTGACAGAGGGTCCCCGATTGACAACTGTGTACAAAACATATGGGTGGCCTTCTAAAAAAGTTAAAGTACAAACAAAAGAGGAACAATAGGGGGTCCCCAGTTGCAGGCAAATACACACTGGTGTGTGTGTGCTAATGCTAAAATGATAATAAAAATCGGAAGGTCCACAAGCGTGCAGAAGTTGCCACGGGCCAAACAAAAATAACCCAACATGCTCTGCTAACTGAAATTTAACGTGGAATTTGTGCATAACTGCCTTGTTCTTTCACAGGGTTCCTTTGGTCTGATTTCCGTCTTTGTATAAAACAAGAAGGTGCAGTTGAAACATGCATTGCAACACAGAACAATCCACACATCACCTGGCGACAAGGGTAACGGCTGGAGTGAAAGACTACTTCAGATGCCAGTGACACAGTTCACCATGGGGTTACTGTACAACCACACCAGGTATACTCACACTTAAAGAAGGGGGGTTAAATCAAAAGGCACTCCATTACAACAGCACCAATAAGGACTAATCTCACACAAGGAGTTGGAGCACTCGTGAGTTACTCCGAGTGAGTTACACCGTACGCTGACTCAAGTAGTCCACACATGCATGAATATGGACTTAATTTGAGGAGATGCGATTACTGCAGTGAGCATCACACATTCATGCACGTCGATGGCATTCTTGAGAAACTTGTGTCATTTGACAAGATGTGGTATCATACCAGTCAAACAGGAATTTAACGCTAGCGTCTGAATTTAATGCGTCTGTCATGCGCATGAGGGCAATACCACTGCAGAAATGGCGTCTAATTCTGTTTGCTGGATACGTCTGTTATTTTTGTCAAATCCAGGCACAAAATCACAGGAAAAACTAAGAAGGCCCCCGGCAAGGGAGCAAGCTCTGCGAGTTATTCCAAAAAAAAATCATAAATCAGAACCACTTGGTTTTTTTGTACAGTTGCGGGCCCACCGTTTTGGCCATGAACGTGCCTGGATTTGTCTTAGTAGACTTTCGGGTTTTGAGAGATCATGTGACTTTGCTGTGAAAGTATGAGTCTTCAACTGTATCCCTAAATGCTCAGATTTCCAATGGGCATTGAGCAGTAACTGCATGGACATGTACTTAGAATCCCAGAAGTGGATGAAATCAAACTAAATATGGGGAATTCCAGAAATAAGGGGGTCCATTTTTGTCGTGTCCCTGTCACATCTGACACATGATTTTGTAAGTTGAGCACGCATTTTCTAATTTCCAAGAGTGATGAATTAAGGCAAAGTACCTGCCAAACAAATAGTGATAGTTTAAAACAAATTCCGGTGATATTTCCATGTCAAATATCAAAGGTCAGATGTCACGGGGACACAAAATGCCACCCTAATTTCTGGAATTAGCCATATACATGTGAATCTGGTGTACACGTAGACATTATGCATGCTGTAGTTTGCTTTGAAAAGTATGCAGAATATTTTAAAACTTTGGTGTGGTAATTCCACGAGGTACAGCATGAGGGATACTTGTACCACAGCTTTTGAATGTTGGAAGAGAATTTGGGGGGTGTCTGGCAGTACAGGAAACAATTGAAGGACTGGTTACTCCAACATGTTTCTTCCCGAGATCTTGAGTGTTAAACATCATTACCATAAACACGGACACCAACAAGGGAGGGGTTAGGTGAATGGGCATGCATCAATCTTCTGGCAAGAAGTTAAGTCAACACCACCGAGGTTCCAGGGGAGGGAAATTGCAAGTTGCAATGATATTACGAGCTTGGATTCCCTTTGCAGGTGTAATTTCAGTAACTTATCCACCATTAAAAGGTACAAGTCTTCCATCATGATTACAGGACTTCTATGACAAAGACAGAATTCCAGCATAAGATGAATTTCTATGACTGTCCCAATATTTAAGACAGAATTTTTAAGAACATTTCAGATTTCCAAGAGTGAAAGGGGATAACCTTATAAAGTCTGGAATTTCTACAAGATGTGAGAAAAAACTTTCAAAAGTGTTCTTAAATTTTGTAACCTCAAGGGATTCCCTCGACTATTTGCAACAATGCAAAGACCGAAGAGCTCAGATCGATTGACTCAACTTCGAGCAGGTGGAAGTCGGGACAGGAAATAAGTCTCTTGATACTCACTTCAGTCTAAAATTGGGACCGGCCATCGAAGTAAAGAGAGATATATAGACAGAGGTTAGAATGTTCAGGTCAAAAATGGCAAAGACAAATACCGACACTGACTGAGCGACAATACGGCAAAGATTCTGCATGGCAAAGTTGCAGTTTATGCAGAGAAAAAGAGTTTCAATGGAGGTTTTTATGTGACATAAGATGACGGGCAAAGACATTTCAGGAAGTGTACCACGTCTGAGGAGGCACGTGCATTTTTGAATCCGCGTATTTCTATTGGCATTTTTATGTACGCCAGAATGTTGAGAGACTTTGAAGGCACACAGGTTTCCGCGTACATCTGTGTACATTAAACGCCGACCGTCAAAAAGCAAGTGACTGCAAGTCCTCTATATCAGAGTTGAAATAGGCCTCTGTACTGATGACGTCACAATATGCGCTTTCCTATGGAGCCAGTGGGGGCCCACAGTCCTCTAAGCACCACAGGAAAGCACACACATAAAGTATAGCGTCATCAGTACAGAGGTCTGTTAGGAACTAGCAAATTGACACTGGAAAGCTTAATGAGCCAAAGGTAATGCCTCGACATCTAACCCAACAACCTCATAAAGTTTCCCCTCATATTCTCTGAAGCAATAGGCGCACAGTGCTTAGGAACCCAAGTCTACAATGTACGTCGGATATGGAAATATTCAAACGTAAATATTCTTTTAGTTTCAATAATCATTTCTGTCATTGTATTTATAAAAAAGTTAATCAAAGGACTCACTGTCTGTAGCATATCGTCTTGTCTGATGAGCCAGCGACTTCTGTCATTTTTAAACTAGAAATGAATACAAAAACATGTTATCATGAGATGTTCTTGCTACATGTGCCCATTGTGTACTTTGGAGATGTCATTATTTTGTTGTCACAGCCTTGACATCACTTAAGAGGTCGCCGGCTTGTTGCTATAGCAACCGGCTCGCACGTTTTTAGCAGGGATTGGTCACAGCCATCTTGACGAGTGGTGCTACTCCTTGTCAGGCAATAACGATCGGCTCAGTGCATCTCGGAATGCTTCAGTGATTTGGTTGCATTTTACAAAAACTCTGACATGTACTTTGGCACCACATGTATGAAGCCACACAATATGCCATATGCCATTGGTTTCCCAACACAGTGGGGGATTTTTGGAGAATTCTGGAAGTTTTCTGGCAACATGTTTATGGAGTTACATGTTGGACTAACCTGAATTCAGTGTTTTCATTTATTGGCCACAAATAGAAAAGTTCGTTCTGGATAATGATGGCTGACCTTGGTGGAGATTTTGACATTGAGACACTTCATGAGTTGCTTGACGGCGTAGCGTTGCTCGCTCTGGCGTTTCCTCTCATTCAGCACACTCGCCAGAGTCTCAAGCTTGGTCAGGGCTAGCTGAAGAGGCATACGGTCGCTATGGCCTGCTGGCGTGCGCTTGAGGAGATCCTAGGGAAACATACATGGAGCCAAAGAAAGGTAAGTTGTGTGCTAGCCAGCCAGTCAAACAATCAGCCAAGTAGCAAGCCAGCTTCAGGAGAGCTGGCCAGACCGCCTGTCCACCAGCAAAGTCCTAATTAGCCAGCCAGCCAGCTAGTGAGCAAGTAGGGGAGGCTAGCCAGTTTAGCCAGCCAACAAATGGGCCAGTCAGCCAACTGCCATTCAACCAGCCAGCAGGGAAAGCCAGCCAGTTCAACCAGCCAACAAATGGGCCAGTCAGCCGCCCATTCAACCAACCAGCAGGGAAAGCTAGCCAGTTCAACCAGCCAACAAATGGGCCAGTCGGCCAACTGCCATTCAGCCAGCCAGCAGGGAAAGCCAGCCAGTTCAACCAGCCAGGTGGGCCAGCCAGCTGACTGCTGGGCCTGCCAGTCAACCACCAAGCCAGTGTTACAACAGGGAGTTGGCCAGCCAACAAGCCAAGCAACCAGCCACCTGACCAACCAGCCTACCACTTGTTGGTCTGTAAGCAAGCCCCCAAACCAGCCATGAACTAGACACCCAAGGAGCCAACGCCTAGTCAAACACTGTAACTGTAATCAATCAACTGTAATTAATTGCAATTAAACGCTGTAAACACTGGCCTACCAACCAGTTTGCTGGCCGGCCAGGAGGCCTTTAAGCCAGTAAAAAGATAAACTAATCATTCCATCAAGCCAGCGACCAATGGAGCGGGCCAATATGATTTACTGCAACCAATCCCCTACCTGGAGAAGACAGATGAATTGTGGGAAGCGCTGAATGGGTTTCAGCATGAGTGCATAGAGGCTGAGACGATCAATGCTGCTCGTTTGTCGAGTCTGCATACAAAAAAATTACAAGGGAAACCTAAAATCAGGCTAGGAAAACCCTGTATAAACTAATCTAACAAACAGACACTAAGAGCCATCACTGAAGTGACACCACGCTCGCACTTGGGTGGTACGCACATGTTACATTGCTCTTCAACCATTAGGGTACTGTGACCAAGGGCGGATCCAGAAACAAGTCTTTTGGGGGGTCAAATTTGTTTGGCGGCTGTAGCAAAATTTTGGCAATTTATCATGAATTATTTTAGGTCTTTCTGAGGGGTGAAGCTACATTTCAGAGCCTTTTACCTGCTGTGGACAGGAGGGAAGTGAAAAAGACCAAAATCATATTTCATTTAAAAAAATTATCAGCTCCTGATGGCCCCTGTCCCCGCCCCCTGGATCCGCCTTTGGCTGCATCTCGCCAAAGTGTACCAAGCAAACATGTTCACTGATACTAATGCTCACGTCACATCATATTTTTTGCACCCTATTCGTCAGGTCCATCTGACAGAGTGTTACAAACCCTTTTATCTCACGTCTGAAAGGAACTTGCCAAAATAAAATGTTACCCTGCGATGACTTTGTTCATTTCTTACAGAGTAAACTTTGGAAAGCTTTTCCTTTGCTAACTGACGAACTGTGTGATGTGTTTTTTTCACCTTACGAGGATGCAAGTTTACCACTGGTGCCATATGGCCCTTGGATGTGGAAAAAAGCCATACTACATATCAGGCTTTTCAACATTGATTCAATGGCACACAGTCCACACCAATTAATACGCACGTGTAACAAAATAAACCGTGACGAAGCAACTTCTCACAAGACAGTGAAATATATCCTTTTACAGTTAAACGCCAACCCTGTACACTTTGATTTTTTTTCTCACCTCGATGAAGTTTCTAAACGCCGGCTTCTGCGCAGCCGCTCTCTTGGCCACTTCCATTGCATTTGTGAAGTTGTTGACGTAGGCACTGTATACATCCAACACCATGGCCTTGGAGAACTGGACAGTTAGGTATAAAGAAAAACGAAGATGGACTGGTGACACGGTGAAGCAAGATTTGTTACATCTTTTGAACAGACAGACGCTCTAGATATTGGGCATAGAAAGCAAAAACAGGGA